CTTCGAGATACCACTCTATTCGAGGAGTCCTTCTCTATGGATGTGTTCGGCGAATACGTGTTTTGGTCTAATTATGAGAAGAATACGGTGTTTAAGACTCATAGATCCGGCGCTAACGGCACCGAGAGGTTGGCATTGGTTACGGCGAGCACTGATATAGAGGGTGTCCGGGTGTTGGACCAGTCCAGACAACCGGCCGGTGCCAACCGGTGCGAGAATACCAACTGTTCTCAACTCTGTTTGCCCGCCGGCCGAGACTACCGGTGCGTTTGTTCAAAGGATTCTGTCGGCGATTGTATAGAAAATGTATGTTTTATTTGTGAAGTTTTTGGATATTTTTTAATTTGATTTTTTGCTAGACACCAATCCATTTGATAAATCCGAGCCCATATCACAGCCCAGCCATCGATACTGACAACCATTTTATGCAGAATTTGTCACTAAAATTGGATTCATTGCTGAAGAGTACGGATCAGATGACAGGTGGTGGTAGTGGTGGCGGTTCGCCCACCCATTGGGTGATCATTACGTTGATATCCATATCGTTTAATCTGATATTCATATTGTTTTTCATTGTTGTTATTTATAATAAGAAAAAGCCGTGAGTATATGTGTTAATACCATGTTGGTTATTATTTTAATTATTTGTGCTATAATTTAACTTAATTATTTTAATTGTAGTATATTTGATGGCATAATATCGTTCAGGAATAATGGGGAGAGAATTATGCTTGATGAAAGTTCCCTGAATGGTGATTTATAATAAACCTTTGTTGTTACTCAATATATTTTATCTCAATACAATAATTGATTATACAATTATTTAATCACGTTTGTTATTTACATATTTAAATATTAATTAATATAACAAATATTGTATATTATATAAATCATTATGTTTAAACTTAATTATATTTATAAAAAGACAATAATAATATAGTTTTTAAATATTTCTCATTACTCAAATAATTTATAAATAATTCTTAAAAAATAAATATTTTATAAATACTTTAAATGTTTTTGAATAACTTTTAATCTATACTGTATACAATTTACAATAAATAATGAGATTCACATAAAGCTCTCTCTCTCTCTCTCTCTCTCTCTCTCTCTCTCTCT